TTCTTGGGGCTGAGCTGCCGGTCAAGTGTGACTCCAAGGTATGTGAGATGCTCTTCTTTCATCACTTGGTGTTTGTCTAACCTCAGGTTAATATTCTTCCTTGCTACTTGGTGGCTTTTGGTAAAGATTGTGTAGACCGTCTTTGCACAGTTAACCTTGAGTTTCCATCTTTGGCAGTACTCATGCAGTCTTCTAAGGTCTCCATTCAGTCTTTGGGCTCCACTTTCCACATTTTCATGACTCTGCCATATTGCTAGGTCATCAGCGTACAAGGCTTTTTCGGCAAGGAATTCAGAATGTTGCAAGAAACCTACCACCACATGCTCGCTTTAAAGCTCCAGAAGTCCGAACTAAATTGGTAGGCGAGGAAACCAAACAGTCCGACCCAATCGCTCTTATGAACTCATCACTAAAGACCGTTGATTCTTACCCCAAGAATGGATTCATGTCTATACTGATGGATCAGCATTTAAAGCTACCATTAAAGCAGGTTACGGAATCTACATAGGTTATCCCGATGGATCTGTTGAAGAGATTTTTGATGCATGCGGGGAATTCTGTTCAAACTATGAAGCCGAAATAATTGCACTGGAAACAGCAGTATACCACCTAAAGACTGTAATGGATGTTTACCCTTCAAAGGTCCAAAATATTGTCATCTTCACAGATTCAATGTCTGCCCTTCAAGCTCTGGAGGGCAGTGAACGCTGCAGAACTGACATAGCCAAGATAATCCTGGATGCTGATCAGCTTATTACCTCATACAACATCAGAATAGTGATGCAGTGGATTCCAGGTCACTCCAGCACACCAGGTAATGACAGAGCTGACAGATTGGCAAAGAAAGGAGCAACACAAGAACAACCACCTACAGCGACAACCCTCCAGACAACAAAAACACTGATAAGAGTTATAAACAAAGAGACTTGGTTGAACAGATGGGCCATGGGAGACACTGGAAGAGAGGTATATAGACATATGTCTGGCCCTGATCCTAATGACAGCATTAACCATCTAACAAGAAGGGACCAGGCCACCATCTTCAGACTTAGAACGCAACATACTCCACTCAATGGACACCTAAACAGAATACAGCCACAACACTCCCCAGAGTGCCAGCTATGTAACTACCCCTACGAAACTGTTGAACACCATCTCTTTGAGTGCCCAAAACTCAGTGAGACAAGAAGAACGCTACTCCCTCCGAGACCAGACAAGTGGAACACCTTGTACGGAGGAAAAGAACAGCTTGTGAAAACATGCAAATTCCACTACATGGCATTGGGCCAAAGGGCGAAAGCTCATGCGCCGCTGGATCGATAACAACAACAACTCATTTTACAATGGGCAGTTCACTGTAAGCTTTCATGGTTCTATTTATTTGTTTACTTAATTCTGCAGGCTTGAGGTTTTTTTTAAGATTATTCTGTTCTGATTGTAAATTAATTATGTCAATTTTCTCTGTTGGGGTACTATTTTTTATATCCTTTAGGCTTAAATATTTATTAGCTTAAAGTAGATACATGTTCTGCAGAGATCACAAGAACAGGACCTTTATTACCCGCAGATAAGTTGCCAAGTACTCCAACCTCCTACTTTAGAATGCGTAAGGTGTATCTCAAAACAGATATGATACCCATCACTCATTCCTTTTATGAGAAGGTTTTGTATTTTACAGAAACAGGTTAGCTCATACAGCAACTTATTTGACATTATGTTGAACTGGATCTCTTTGATTTGCTCCTGTTCGATTTGTATCCTGAATAGTCACTGGGTGTTGATCTTTCAAGCTGCATTCACAGATGGAAGAAAACACTTTTTATCTATATCAGTGGTTCTCAGCCTTCCTAATACAGTGACCCATTATAGTTCCTCATGTTGTGGTGACCCCCAACAATAACATTATTTTTGTTGCTGCTTCATAACTCCAGTGAATATGTGTTTTCCGATGATGGTCTTAAGCAACGTGAAAGATGGAAGTTTGGAAGGGCCGAATGTAAGACAGGCCTGCGTGCCTAATTTGTAACCCTTTGAAAATAAAGTTCGTTCGTTCGTTCGTTCATTCATGTGAAAGGGTAATTCGACCCTCAAAGGGGCCACGACCAACAGGCTGAGGGCCGCTGATCTATTTGTTGCAGTTGTTTCTGTTGCTATTGTCAGGGTATTAAATGTTGAAGCCCAAATCTTGTTCATAGCAGCTAAGTATATTTGCTCTTATGGCTTAAGCACGCAGCTGATGCGCTACACACTCTTGTCACAGACCTCTGGGTGACCTTGATGGTCCGTGGCTCGTGAGTGGGCCTCTGACAGACAATCTATACCTTACACAGACTGAACCTGAACGCATAAAGAACACACATGACAATCTTTACTGTAAATACAGATATTACAACGGACAGTTTACTTTCTGCTGTATAGCCACCTGTTACTTGAAACACTGGCCGAGCAAGCTTTACAATCACTTGCTCTCCAGTCTGTTACCACAGGCAATCCCAGGTACACAAACCACACCTTTGGGTGGGGGGTGGGGGGTGTGTGGACATAATTGTACCTTGTCACCTGAGCTTACCAAGATGTCAGAGCTTCTGTCGAGCGCAGGGTCAGCGTGACAAGGCTAGCCATTAGCTCACAACACTTGCATCTAACTGATTTAACTGATCAGAAATAAAAAAACACTACTTACTTATTGTGAAACAACACAATACATTATACCATTTAAATACACAGCACAAAAAGACTATCCTACTATACCATAACACTGTAAATCATCTACGAAGTCACTAAAATAATATCCTAACTCTAACATTCTATCTCTGTCTCGCTAACACGTCCTCTTGGTCCCAACTATGCATGTCAAATCCTTGTGTTCTCTCACCTTGTGGCTTTTGACCGGTGAACCCGCTCAGTAAGGTCATGGAACAAGCATGTCGAGAACCTGCTCGGAAAAGAATTCACTCTTACTTGTAGTCTTCAAGTGGTCTCTGCTAAGCGCTAGATTCACTGTTGCAAACAGCACATACGTGGCCAGTCACGCCACTGACCTTTGTGTCAACTCTGGGGTGTACCCTGAACACGGGATAATCATTTTATGGTCTACTCCGCCCCATGACTGTACAGGGTTCTGACATTCACCCTTCCCATGGCCTGTCATCATGTTTAGTCATCTAAACAATTTATATTGTCAACAATCAGTTACCTGTTAAAAAAAATCGTGTACTTTGGGCCAGTCACTTAAGGACAGAATGTATGGCACATATTTAATGGGTCTGTACATTCAATAGGTAAGCCCCTTCCTAATGGGTAGAAATGGTGTCAACCCTTGACACAAATACGCCACTACTTATTACACCTTCAAATCATATGGGTAATGATATAAATAATAATTTGGGTGGACACTCAAATCGTCTGGGACCCAATTGCACCTTACTTCACTTACTGTGCAAGTAAGACACCACTGTATACACTCCCAAGCCGTACCAACGACACTGAGATTAATAACAGTAGGTGTCATGGACTATCTCCACAAGAGTTGTGCATGGTTCTGAAAGAAATCATGGCCTGACTCCCTGACCTACAGTCGTTAACTGTGTCTGCGAATCCGCAATCCCTGCCAAGACACTAATCATCCCATATTATCCACAGAGTAAAATAGGCAGTGGACAAACTTAGGCCAGTTGGACACACTCCCATCCTCTAAGGATAGTGCCACCCCTCAAATGTAGTCTCTATATATGCAATAATTAGTTACAACATCATTAACTCTCTCTCTCTGAGTGCCCTATTAAAAGTACAATTTAATATTTATTACTACTATCAGATATCTATTTATTTGATGAAAAAAAGATTAAATAATTTCATTGTCACTTCTAAACTAAATAGTCCATTATGTTAACATTCACTATTTTACAAAAGCATTTACCCAAAATTTTTAAAGTCTAATATCTACTTTTTGTTTACATTTGCTCCACATAAAACATTCAGTTAATATCAAACTCATTGGAACTTTTTAGAAGCAATGGATTTCATATTAGTGAACTGTAACTTTGGAAAATTACTTTTCAAAAACAGAGAATTATTGTTATTGCAATGCAAGAATATTAATCCACATAAAAAATGTAGATGAAAAATAACTAAAGTTACATATGTTATACTTAACAAAAACAAAATATTTTTGTAATACCCACAAGAATTGTAACAAAAATAATTACAACATGAAATAAATAAGTAAAATACATATGTAATAATTTTCAAAACCATAAATTATTACCCTTTATCAATACCACCAAAATACTTACAAATCAAAACAAAAAAGCAAAATACGCGTATAATAAATTTCAAAGCCAAAAATTATCACTCTTTATCAATACCCACAAAATAATTACAAATCGAGATAAGTAAGTAAAATACACATATAATAACTGTGCAGATGAAATTTATTATATGTGTATTTTGCTTATTTATTTTTCTTTACAAGCCTTTGATCTGTATACTTTCATCTTGCTCACCATCCCAGTCTTTTGTCTAATAGGAATAGATATTTTCTGTATAAGATTATTAATTTCTACTTCACTTATATAGTTAGGTATTCAGTCAAGTATGTTACTTAATAGGACATTATGTCTCTTCATTCATGTAGTATAGGCAGTCAGCCAAGTATGTTACATAGTAGAATATAATGCCTACTTCGTTCATATAGCTTGGTCAGTTAGCCTGGACTGTTTTCTGAGGCCACCACCATACACAAGTGGTAAATTCAATGCAGAATTTTGTATAGCCTTCTCAGTGGCACTTTAGTATGCTTTTAAATGTCTTCTGGTTACTTGTTAGCAAATTTTATCTAAATATGTTACTTGTTAGTAAATTTTGTCTAAACATGTTACTTGTTACATATTTGATCTAAATATGTTACTTGTTAGTAAATTGTTTCTAAATACTAATTTTACCAGTTAATAACAGCTAACAAATAATTTTCTTCCAGGCGCACCTGTGTTGACTTAGGAATGGACTATAGATCCATTAAGAATAGCATTCCACTTCCCCTAGCTGAAGAATCCATGAGCCAAGGTGCAGGAGATGGAAGGCTGTTGAATGGGGCGGATAAGCCTAGAAATGGAAGTCCTGACTCTTTTTGTGACCTACAGGAAAAACCTAGTAAGAACTGTCATGTGTTCTTGGTTGAGATGGGTTCTTGTTGTTAATATATAAGAAAATATGAACTGGGTGGGAACAATAACTGGCAGATACGTTCTTCCTATATGTATAAGGAAAAACTATACAGTAAAAGAACTGACAGATGTGTGTGTTTGTTATATTTATAGAAAAAAATTCTAACGTTAACTAATTGAATAGTAATTTATCTACTCATTGGCTGGGGAAATGTGTTGATTATCTAAGCAGGGCTTAATTAGTCTGAGTTGATTGATTTTAGACCTAGGCTGCAGGCTTTAAATGACAGTATAAGTAATGGAAACAAAACACAGCTTTCAATGTCATTTATAATTGAATCTGTGTACAGGAGAATGTCGAATGTTGATCCATTCAGTTACCCCAAAAAAATATGACTTTACTTTGAACAATGTCTTCGAGAAAGTGGCAACCACAAAAATACTGTTCACTAAGTTGTCATCCCATTGGGCATGGAGTATTAGAAAGCAGTGTTATGGGTTGCTGGAGTTGAAGGTCCAACAACTGACAGACGGACGGATAGATAGATAGACAGACAGACAGACAGATATATAGATAGATAATGCTGGCAGGGATGACTCAGTGGTGAAGACCAACAGACACAGACCTATGCAGCACAGACAGAATCTGGATGGGGGAATTCCCTGCTAGACTCAGAGGGAAGGTTGCTGCTGTGGAATGAAGTCTGTAGATCTGCTGTGGAATGAAGTCTGTAGATCTGCTGTGGAATGAAGTATGTAGATCTGCTGTGGAATGAAGTCTGTAGATCTGCTGTGAAATGAAGTCTGTAGATCTGCTGTGGAATGAAGTCTGTAGATCTGCTGTGGAATGAAGTCTGTAGATCTGCTGTGGAATGAAGTCTGTAGATCTGCTGTGGAATGAAGTCTGTAGATCTGCTGTGGAATGAAGTCTGTAGATCTGCTGTGAAATGAAGTCCGTAGATCTGCTGTGGAATGAAGTCTGTAGATCTGCTGTGGAATGAAGTCTGTAGATCTGCTGTGGAATGAAGTCTGTAGATCTGCTGTGGAATGAAGTCTGTAGATCTGCTGTGGAATGAAGTCTGTAGATCAGCTGTGGAATGAAGTCTGTAGATCTGCTGTGGAATGAAGTCTGTAGATCTGCTGTGGAATGAAGTCTGTAGATCAGCTGTGGAATGAAGTCTGTAGATCTGCTGTGGAATGAAGTCTGTAGATCAACTGTGGAATGAAGTCTGTAGATCTGCTGTGGAGTGAAGTCTGTAGATCTGCTGTCATTAAAATTCCATTACTGCATGTATTTACTACTTTGTGGGGAGCCTCTTTGAGCCTAAGGATTTAGGGTCGCATTGCTAGTTCTGTGGCCACGGACTATGCAGGTTAGGATAGGTTTTTTTTTTCCCCAACAGAGACAAAAAAATCTCCAACCTTACCTAGGATTTGAACCCAGTCACTCGCTTGAGAGTCAAGCATTCTAATTGTTCTACTACCTCAACAAATATGATGATGGATTTAGGTGGCTGGTATAACATGCTTTGGTATTGCTGTCACTTACTTGAGTCACTAGAGCTGTCACTTTGATTCTCAGTAAACATGCAGATGGATAGATATGACACATGTAAGTACGCTGCAGAAAGATATGTCTCTTATCAAGATTTGTGTGGGTAACCTGCCTGGATCCTGCTGAAGTGCTAGGCAATAAATGGGATGGATTAATTTTTTGGCTTTAAAAGCACCAGTAGTTGGGACTTTTACAATTGACAGGGGAGATATTCAGAAAGCTTTGTGCTAGTGACTGCTACTAGTTCAAGGTGCAGCAATAAATAAAACTTTATACTTAAGAGGTGTGAGTTTAGATTTTAAGTTTCTGGCAAGAAGGAATGGGTGAGGGAAAGAATTTGACTGTAACAAGTGTGTTACTAGAAATGTTTTGCCTTGTGGCATTTGTTGAGGGAGACATTGAGGTAGCATCTATGATAGTGCCCAAAGTGCTATAAGATTGATCCTTATAGCAGTGAACCATCATACAGGCACATCCACCCATCATTCTTTTCATCCACAAAGTAAAATTGGAGTATCCGTGGAAACCGGAACTGTTAGAAACCCTTATTCTCTCATTGACTATAAATAAGGGCAGCAACCAATTTGCACAAATACACACACACGTGCGCACGCACACACACACACACACACACACACACACACACACACACAAATTGTATTAATAGCACATGTCATATGTGATGTCATAAAATAACATTAAAATGGATTTATAATTGACATTTGATACCATAAAACAACATTCACTATCATAAATAATCTGTCACTGTTGTGAACAGTCGTTTGTATATATACGTTTAAAATTGTTTTCCTTCATCATTCAAAACAAGGTGCTTTCTAAGCATTGGCAGACTTCATGGGTCATTTATTAAGCAGCAAAGCATTATGGCTATAGAGGCACATGTGTTCATGTTTATTGGTCTGTGACATGTGTGTTTTCTTGTATCAGATTCTATCAGTGTTTGCTGACATGTATTGCAGTGCCATCAGCAGACACATATATGTTTCATTGGCCACATTTGTTGTAGGTCATCATAATATTTCTTCTGCTTACGTCATGATTAATATTTTTGAGATTGCAGTCACAGATAGATAGAAAAAAAATGAGGCGCAGTTTTAGCTCCATTATCGACTCATTTTCTCTCCATATCCCCCCCTTTTTTTTTAAATAACATGATTTTATGTTCAGTTTATTTTATCAATTATCCTGTTTTCCATGTTTTTAAACATATTTTATTTGTGCTAAATTTTATATAATTCTTGTTTTATCTTTTGTTTTGTGTCTTCCATGTCTAATATTTTCAGCATGTATGTTTAATGTTTGGTCAGTTCCTCTCTGTGGATGCTAGACAAGAAGTAATAAAATAGAAAAGAAACTGGGAGCAGTAGAGATAAGGGTTTTTGAGCAAAATCATGAGAAAATCATGGATAGAGTGTAAACAGATGCTGAGGTATTGAGATCTGCAGGGATTACAGTATCACTCACCAAAACTGTAAGGACAAGATAAGAGAAATGTATGGGGCAAATCAGTAGAAGAGGTGGGAATATAGAAAGAATATAGAAACATGTCTTTTGTGGTAAAAGACAGGTGAGGCCAGAGAAGATGTATGTAGAAAACATAAACATCTGAGCAACAAATAATCCTAAAAGCAATGCCAACTTCAGCAAATTGTAGATGATGAACGAAGAAACTTTTTTTTTAAAGGGTTATAAATTGGGTACACAGGCCAGTCTTGCATTTAGCCCTTCCAAACACACATCTTTCACTCACACAGCAATTATCTTTATAGCATGTTATGCTCATATAACAATATACATAAAATTACTATCAAATACAATACACAGAAGCATGGATGGTAAGTGTGTACATTCAGATGTAAATATATACATACATATTATACATAAGCGTGTACATGTGTACATACATACACACACACTCTCTCTCTCTTACAAATACATACATTCATGCCGTTATACATTCAAACATATCATGCAAGCACACACACACATTCATGTTTGTATCTGAAATGATTAAAACCTCATGTGGGTTCTGGGATCCCAGTGTGGGGGAAACAAGAAAAGACCCACTGCCTCCCCAAAAGCCTGTTGTTAGAGTAGACTCATTAGGAGCTTTCTTTGAAGTTGAAGTGCATCTGCCTGTGAGGCAAGGAACGGACAGTCTGCATATAGATGAGTCAGATCTGTAAAATAGATGTCTACACAACATGCAGGTTCTGGAACAGGATTGCAGTCCAGAAGTGAATGAACAACCAGAATTGTCTGCCATGTTAACAGCCAATGGACATGAAGAAGAAGAAGATGATGATTAAAGAATCATGACCTCTCACTGTGATACATCTAGTGGTTTTATCATACACTTTAAAAAAAAATATATTTATGTTCAATATATTAAGGCGTAAATGTGTTGAATATAAGAAAATTTATTTTATTCCTTTAATTCTTTGGAGAATGTGGTTATAATACTCTCTGTCTCTGATTCAAAGTTTTCATATGCATAATTGTTATGCACTTTTACAAGAACAGTAGTTAATCTGTAGTTCTGGCATCTGGCTCTATTAAAAGCTCTTATTTAGATTCCAGAGCTCCCATAATTGGTCTGTCTGTGGGTGAGGAATAAATCTTCATCAATTAGCAGATTCTTTACAGAATGGACTCGCACATAGCACAGTGGTTTAAGTTACAGGCATGAAGGAAAGTTAAGGCTGGTGATTTATATAGGGATATAATACTCTATACTTGGCCTCTGACGCCGACTGACTCTGTGCCAATTTTACGGATCCTCATGCAAGACTCCTGCCATACATTCTTGTCTTGCACTACGGTTAATGGCGTATATGAGTATGCTATGTTACAGTTCTGTCCTATCCCATAACTTCACAGTTTTGGGTGTCCAGAAATCAAATGTCTTACTGTATGAGGGGCAATGTTCAGAATTCCAACTACTAAATGCCCCACTGTTGAGCAGACAAGGTTAAAATGTTGGCTGACATTGGCCTTACTCATTAGAGTGTCAGGACCAAACTGAAAAGCCATGCCTGATGCATGTTTTTCAGATGCAGTTCGTTCTAAGTGTCCATATGCATGCTTTTCAGATGCTGTGGTTCTAGGTGTCCTAATACATGTTTTTCAGATGCTGTGGTTCTAGGTGTCCTGATACATGCTTTTCAGATGCTGTCGTTCCAGGTCTCCTGATACTTTTCGGATGCTGTCATTCTAGGTGTTGTGATTCATGCTTTTCAGATGCTGTTGTTCTAGGTGTCCTAATACATGCTTTTCAGATGCTGTCATTCTAGCTCTCCTGATACTTTTCAGATGCTGACATTCTAGGTGTCTTGATTCATGCTTTTCAGATGCTGTCGTTCTAGCTCTCCTGATACTTTTCAGATGCTGACATTCTAGGTGTCTTGATTCATGCTTTTCAGATGCTGTTGTTCTAGCTCTCCTGATACTTTTCAGATGCTGACATTCTAGGTGTCTTGATTCATGCTTTTCAGATGCTGTTGTTCTAGGTGTCCTAATACATGCTTTTCAGATGCTGTCATTCTAGCTCTCCTGATACTTTTCAGATGCTGACATTCTAGGTGTCTTGATTCATGCTTTTCAGATGCTGTCGTTCTAGCTCTCCTGATACTTTTCAGATGCTGACATTCTAGGTGTCTTGATTCATGCTTTTCAGATGCTGTTGTTCTAGGTGTCCTGATACATGCTTTTCAGATGCTGTCATTCTAGATGTCCTGATACTTTTCAGATGCTGTTGTTCTAGGTGTACAGATACATTAATGTTAAATGTGTCTAACCTGTTGAAGAAAATTCTGGACCTGCATGCTGTACCAAGTTAAACTCTAATGGATGCAGCCATGATTAATGGGAAACTCAAAACATGAATGTGAGGTTAAGCAGTCATGTGCAGGATGTGACGATTCCTTTGGTGAACCAAAACCAGAGCATCATGTGTTGGCTATGAATTTATGAAAGCCTCCTTGGGTGGTGGGGAATGCTCTTGCTTTCATTTGTGAGCCGATCAGGCTACCCGTAGTTACCTTGGATGGGTTCTTTAGGGACAATACATGTAGATAATGTGACAAAGAGGACACCGCGCAGATGAGGCTATGTCGTGTCCCACAAAACCAACCGGGATGGCTAAGCTGGTGAACAAATACCTGATAAAGTTCGATGTGTCGGCCGAAAGGCGCAAATATGGTATCTGTGCTGTAAACGGGCACAACGTAATTACGTCACACTGATGAACATTGAAGGAGAAGAACATGCTCTCATCACGGCATACCTGAAAGCCTCCCTTTCTGCAGCCAGTTTCACCGCCTTTTGTGCTTTCATAGCTGTGATGCCTTATTATGCAGAAACTGTACTATCCATCACCATGCTCTCCAGGCCACCACGGCAATTTATAGGACTAAGTTAACCGAATAAATTTGCATTATTTTTGCAGTCAACATGGTTACCAGCTGCTACAGTCCTGAACCTGGTTGAGAACCATTGGGCAACATATCAACTGTCAAATTTATGCTTTTATTAGCAACACCCTAGGATCATATATCAGGGTTGGGGGAGGGGGGGGGGGGGAAGATAAAATACAGAAGCTCCAAAGAATGGAAATGAAAGAAAGAAATTTAAAAGAAAAAACAGGGACATGTGAAATGTTTCATTTACATTTAAAACATCTTAAACTCTACTGGAAGGAACAGTTTGAGACAGGCGTGTAAGTAGACCATAATACCGTATAGGATAACATCAAGAGGTGGATTAATAGCATTCTGCCAAGAGTGTTCACACAGGGCATGAGATAGTGTTGGACATCCATTGCAGCCAGCCTTTACTATGGAGATGATGTCTGATTGATTGAAGCAGCACCTTGAGGAGCAATCAGTATCTACTTCTCTGATATTGACTAGGAGAAACTGAGCATCTGTGGTTCTTTCAAACTGCCATATTTTCTTCTTGCCAGTAACATCACTTATTTATATTAGTTGTGTTTTGGACTTCGGAAGTCAGCTTTTGAAAATGTTCATCCAAGGTAATTTTTATGACAGTAATGCTTGAACTTGATTAGATATTGTTTTTAATTCTTTGTTTTGGAATGTTACTTCTGTGATAACATTGTCACTTATCGTTATATCACATTAACTTACTTGATTCTGTCTGCGGCATGCTTTTGTTGTGAAATACAATAATTATCATTCACTCACAGTTAATGAGTAATGGTTGTGAAGAATACCGTTTGTATTAGTCTTTTAGTCCCTGGTGATTTTGCAGTATCATCCCAATGAGCAAAGGAAAATATTGTAAAATTATTTTCAGCAAAGCTGAACCCATAGATGAAGTAGCCACATGAGAAGACAGATTTCTTTAGTATCCACTGACCAAAACAGATTGCAAACATCACATATTAAATGAATATTTAAGCTCAGAACATTCAGTATGTGTGGAATCTCGAACCTGGTTATGCAGTAATGTAGATAAAGATGGGGCAACTAACAGAGATATTGAAATAAGAATACAAAAGGCATTAGGAAATCTATGGAAATTAAAACAAGTAAAACATTTAAACTGTGAAGTTCTAATTAGGTCAGTACTTCTGTATGGAACTGAAAGATGTAGAATAACTACAACAATTACTAATAAACTACATTTATTAACTGGTGCCTACACAGATAGAATTAAGTCGTGTGATAGAAAAGTTAGCTTTTGGGGAGAACTAAACAAATTCCAGTGAGTCAATTAGTTAGTTATTCCTCTTGTGCCAAAGATGGCTCATAGGGCAGAGGTCATAGCTTTCCACGTCTGTCGGTTCTTTGCCACTTGATGTAGGTCTTGAGTGCGACTGAGACCTATGGTTGAGCTCTCCCTTGTGATGGTTCTACGGAGAGTTTCTTTTGGTCTTCCCTGTTTTCTTTTACCCTCTGGTGACCATATGAAGGCTTGGTGGGGAAGTCTCTGTATGTCCATTCTGAGTACGTGACCGATGTAATTCCAGCGACGCTTTCTAATAAAATCAGACACATATTTTTGTTTTGTTTCCTGTCTTATAGATGTATTGGACCTAAAGTCCAACCAGTGAACATTCAATAGCTTTCGGAGGCATCTATTCTCGAAAGCGACTAGTTTCTTATCGATTGATACTGATGATTTCCAACTCTCACAACCATAAGTTAGCACTGGGATCACACAGGAATTGATGACCTTAAGTTTCGTGTTGTTGCTGAGTGATCTTGACTTCCAAATGTTTGACAGTTTGTTAAAGGCACTTGATGCTAACGCGATTCGAGTCGTTATTTCTGATGTTGTATCTCCCGCAGAGGTTATCTTGCTCCCTAAGTATGTGAATCAATAGGTGAGGAAAAAGACAGACATTGAATGTGACACAAATATAGATAAACCTAACAACAAACAGTATAACTAGAATGCCTTTTTTGCACTGGAACCCACAGGGATAAAGGCAGACAACCCCCCCCCCCCCCCCCCCACATACACACACACACAAAAGAACCAATTGGAAAAGGATTGAAGTTAAAATTATGGAAACATGGAATGTGCTGCATTTGATAGGGAAGGATATGAAGACTTGGTGGTGGTTGGTTGAGGGCCTATACAGACAATGAGCATCATCATATGTCAGCTTGCTTTGCTAAGTTTTCCCACTTCAAGACCAAAGGCTGTCAAGAATCTTAGTCATTCTCTTCTTCTGTCCTTCCCTCATAGATTGTTTGTCTTATAATTTGGTCAGATAAATAAAGACAGGCTCTTTCTGACAATTTGTCTTTTTTTTTTTTTTGGTAGATAATTTAAAAAAAAACATGAAAGATGTTGAATATCTGCTAGGGAACTATTTAAGTGTATTGTTTGTTTACACATTTCTGTGATTCCCCCCCCCCCCCCCCCCCCATATGAGCATTATTCATTGTGAGAGATTCCCCTGTGGTTTATATTGATTGAGGAAAATGTCTGGCCCAGTATTTTATAAAAACAATGAGCTGTATTTTAGTGCAAGCTTTCAACTGATTATTGCAGATGTACATTTTCTTTAAGGCCCTGCTGTCTTTCGCACATGTTGAACTAATTTGGATATTTTTATGATTATCATAAGTGCCTTGGTTTATTGCAGTTTTTCAGGTGTATGTTCTTTCGGTTTCTCCCTGCAGTCTTTCTCACATGTTGCGGGGGGGGGGGGAGTACCAGGCAAAACCTATCTGCCACACGCATGCACACACCCCACAGAAATCAACTTTGAGGGAGAGGAGATTTCAGTTGTAACCAGGGCTTTTTGGGATGCAGGTTGAATGTGATCATAATGTTTTTTGCCCTGCAAACAAACGAACATAATTTCTCACCTGCAAACAAACGAACATAATTTCTCACCTGCAAACAAACAAACATAATTTCTCACCTGCAAACAAACAAACATAATTTCTCACCTGCAAACAAACGAACATAATTTCTCACATGTTAAAGTTAACTTTATTTTGTTTGGGTACATACAATATTCGTCTTGGGTTGGTCTCCACAGTGGGTCTGAGAGCTGACCTTTCAGAAAGCAGCGGCAAACTACTGAATGTAAATTTGCCTAGTAAACCCACAACAGCAATAAAATACTGGGGTTGATTCTGCAATGTCCTGCAAAGCGATACACATCTAACTTGACACAATATTAACAAGTTTTGCATTTTCCACAGCATTACCCTTGTTTGGAATGGACATAGGAGGCACTCTGACCAAATTTGTTTACTTTGAACCTGAAAATTTTGATGAATTTGATGTGGAAGAAAGAAGAATACTTCAGATAATTCACAGATACCTTTTGGGGGACACAGCTTACGGGAAGACTGGCATCAGAGATGTGCATCTTGAGATGGGAGATCAAAAGATTTGTGGCCGTACTGGAAAGATTCACTTTATACGATTTCCAACAAGTCAGATGTCAGCATTTATTGACCTAGTGAAAACGAAAAAGTTTTCCGGACTTGCTAGTGGTATCTGTGCAACTGGAGGCGGGGCTTATAAATTTGCTGGTGTTTTTGAAAAGGTAGGTTGAAATCTTGCTTTAAAAAAAAATATCTATATATATATATAGTATTTATGATGTTTACTTTTGGGGAAAATGTTATTATATTTTTAATTTGTTTAATTATGTAACATGTTTTTAATGAGCACTTATTCAATATGAACAGAGAAGACACAAACAGCAGATTGCACATTTTATAACCTGGCATATATTTATTTATCTTATTAGGTGCAAACTAGAAATATACTCAAGAATTCTGCAACTGCAGTGTTTCGTTTACCTGGTAAGATGCAGTGAAATATATCAAGCTGTAAATTATGAAATCTGTTGTTTTTGTCTTCTTTTTCAGATTTACAGTGGAAGAACATTGCCTTAATTTTTTTTTGCAACATTTTAATTAAACGAAAACAGCTAATTTTACTTAGTCTGCTTTTAATTTCTTTATTGACTGTTCCATTATCAGAGTTCCGAAGCACTGGAAATATTAAGTTGCTTCTGTAAGTGAAGTAAACAGAGAAACTTTTTCATACTTTGGGACTTAATGGTGCTAGATCCATTTTTTAAAACAACTTGACTCTCAGTGGGTGATGTGGCCGGCATCCTGCCAGTCACCTTTACTTTCAGGTTTATTCCCTGGTACAAATTTTAGGCTGAGTCAACCTGGGAGCCATAGGAAAATTATTATAATCTTCACCTGTAGATTATAACCAAAGATCATTGGGCTGCTAGGTAAGCATCTAGCACCTTGCTAGAGCCCCTAGCTCATCTAGCTGTTTCTATTGTCTTCTTTTGTCATCTCGCTGATACCAGGTTATAGCCCAGTGTTATGATTTTCTGTATGCAGGGTTCGTAGTGGACCGGGAAATCGGGAAATTACCGGGATTTTTTTCGTTGACCTTGAACCGGGATTTTTAGCTTATAAAAGACATTCCGACCTTGAAAAGCCGTGAATTTTGACCGCGGCAATGAAATCGTCAGAAATCCTGTGTTTTTCAGCACAGGCAATTTTGGGGGAGCCATTTGGCTTTTTTTGGCCATTTGGCTAGTTTTTGGCTACTTTCGTTGTATGGTCGTTTCAGGTGTGAGGGCAGCTGATTATTGGCTATTTTCAGCCGAAATGGCTTGTTAAAGGCCAGGGGAGGGCGGGCTGTGTTGCAGATCATGAATACATGCAGACAGCAGCGGTGTGGCATGGGGCGGGAAGTAGCAGATTCCGTCTCGCGCGTGTGTGTGTGTGTGTGCCTTTGTTTCTAGCAAGTCGGGCAGAATGAACAATCGTTTATGGCCGTGGTTTCTAGAAAGGATAACATTGGGGGATGGTGGGGCTCGGTTCAGTTGTATTTATAAATAGAGTCGCCGTGGTGGGGGCTAAGCACGGCCTTCTCTATTAATTAGAGATGGCATTGGGGCTAAGCAAAGTGACTGCAGCTGGATTTCCCAGTTCTATTTTTGGCCTGGATTTATCTTTACAGTGTGTTTGGCGATCAGTATTGTAATTCCCCTAGATTCCGTCTCCTGCATTGTCTCTAACCCTCCCTTCTGATCTTCATCTTCTTCTCTTTCTCTCTATCTTTCCTTTTACTCTCTCATTTCCTGTCCCCCCTCCCCCTTTTTTCTATTTTATTTCTTGTTTAAATGTTTAGTAAATGTGCGGCTCCATAACTCTTCCTAGCAACTCAAGTACACAGGAAGTTGTATTGGCGGGGGGGGGGGGGGGGGGGGGGGGGGGGCATTCTGTGGGAACATGGTGGATATTTTCTTTTGATGTGTTTGTTTTCCTAGCGGCCTTAATCTCTGTCCATCTCCCTTCCCGCCCCCTCACATTTTGTCCTACCTGTTCCTCACTCTCTGCCTGTCTGTGTCACTGCTTTCCTCTCTTTCTCTTTGTATTTGCCACTCTCCCTCACTCCCTCCCCCCTCTCTCTCTTTCTTTCTCCATACCTTCAGTTGGTGTAGAAGGTTATGTGTTTGCCTAGTGCAGAACATTTCATGTCCAACAGCTCCCCCTCCCTCACACACACATTAAATATATGTGTACTTTTAAAAACACATTTGCCGTCACCCCCCCCTTTTTTTTTTTTTCCTCCTCCCACATTGATGACACCTAGGGGAGGGAGTGCACCCCTTCCTGCTACCTTCTTCCCTCTATATCTCATCTTATTTCTTACTCCCTTCTTTCTCTCCCTGTCTCATTCCCACTCTATTTTCTTAAACTTTATTCTCTCGCCTCCTCTGTCTCACCCTTACCACCTCAGCCTTCTACACCACTTTCCACCACCTCCTCTCTCCCCTCCTTTCTGTAATTGGAAAACCAGAAATAAAACGAAGTCCACTGCTGCCCTGACCTATTTATGTGTCTGACCTATTTATGTGTGTGGGTAAACTTCTCTATTTTCCACCAGTGGTGGGAAGGGATCCCCTGGACTTTTTTTTTTTCTTAAAAAAATGACCTTGGCTCTCAGGTCACCAGCCTTAAGTGTAAGAAATTGAATTATTGTTGTCACACACAGATAGGGCAAGCAAGGGGCAGTAGGGGTTAGCACTGTTGTTTTTGGACCACGGCCACATTCACATTGGGAGAGGGTAGGAACCTGAAAAGTGGCCTCACTTAGAGATTTCCTAATTCTATTTTTGGCACTCATTGTTCTTACACCCCCACCCCCACAACTGTGTCTTACCTTTCTTCTCTCACCCCTTCTCTTTCCTTTGATCTTCTACTGTTCTCCTTTCTCTCTCCATTCTTTCTCTCTTCCTTTCCTTGCCCTTCTCCTGTCCCATCTCTTCTTTGTCTCCTCTACATCCTGTCTTTTCATTTTCTCTAGATTTCCTTACCCGCTCCCCTCTCTCATTCTCTCTCCCCCCCCCCCCCAATTTTGTTACTGGTTCATCTACATATTTTTTTGCCCCATAACTATCTTTTCCTAGTGGTTGTGTCCACTACACTTGAAATTGTGTTGGGGGGGGGGGGGGGGGGAGGGAGTAGGTGGCTGTTTTTTTTCTTTGATGTATCTTGTCTCTCTTCCTGCCCCTCTCTCTTAATCTGTGTTTGTCACTGCCTTCCTTACCCACCTCTCTCTCTCTCTCTTGTTTTATGTCTGTTTGCCTCCCTTCATCACTTCCTCTTTGTATACCTCCCTCCCATTCTCCTGCTCTGCCTTTTTTTCTATTTCTTTGGTTCTCTCCCTCTGTCTGCTTGCCTTTCTGTGCTGTCCCTTTGTCTCTCTCTCCTTTATGTCTACATCTCTCCCTGCTTGCATCTGCTTCTCACCCTGTCCGTTCTCTCTCCCTCTGTCTCCCTTTTTTCAACTCTTCGTCATATTTTCCTCCTTCCATATCTCTGTTTCGTTCCCTTTTTCCTTCTCTTTTCATCTGCCCATCTCTGTATCTGCATTCCCTCTTTCTGTATTTGTCTCCCTCTCTGTCTTTTGCTGTCCCTTCCCCACTTTTCCCTCATGTCTCCATCCCTCCCTCTCATTTTTCCCTCCTTCCCCAGACTTCTTTTCCTTCTTTTCTCTACCTTCATCTGTCCATCTTTACACTGTCTCTCCCAGCCTACCTGAGCATGTGTCTTCCTCTCTCTTCATGACTCTCTCTCTCTCTCCCCTAACCCTCTCATGTACCAGGTCCAGAACAGACAGGACTTCAGTTTGCTGCCCTCTACCACCAAGCCCTAAAAAAAAATTTCAAACACTATATCAAGCTGAGGGGCCGACCAACACGAAGATGGGCACAGGATATAAGTGACTCCTTGAGTATAAAAAAGTACATGAGGCGGGAGAGCTGGTGAGAGACCGAGGTTTTTTTTGTCAGGACGAAGGAAATGCTACATGATGATGATATCTGTGCTGGTATACCAACACATGTGGCAAAAATGAAGTACCTTGTGTGCTCAGTACACCCTTGAACAAGGCAAAAATCTTGTTTCAGTATTACACCGAGACAACCTTGAAAAAAACTAAGGAGACCTTGAAAAAGACCTTGAAAAGCCTTGAAATTGATTGGTAAATTTGGCTATGAACCCTGTGTATGTGTCTTGCACTTCTCAGGTAGCTAGGATGATACATTTGTTGAATCTTTTGCAGGTTTCAGCTACACCATTTCTCCTCATCTTCCTCCCAGATAAACTGTTGTAAAAAAAAATATAATATGCAGTTTTGTCTGGCTGCAATCTCACTGGATGGCCGAGCCATTTTATTCTTTGTCTGTCAGTATAATTCAGACACTGTCTTATTATGTTACTTTTTGTTGGATGTTCCAGGAAATTCAGCTGCAGCTGCACAAATATGATGAACTTGAGTGCCTTCTCAAAGGTATACACTATAGTGACCGCTACAACCACCGATCTGAGTGTTACTATTTCAGCAACCCCCTGGACTCGGAAAACTGTGAGAAAAAACCCTTCGACTTTAGAAACCCTTACCCTTATCTGGTTGTGAACATTGGATCAGGGGTGAGCATCCTGTCAGTTCGCTCTAAAACAGACTACACAAGAGTTAGTGGCACCAGGTGATTATACTTTAACATACAACTTTGTCTTGTTGATTCTTCTTTCTCTTGGTGTTCACCAGCTGTAAACTCCGGTGGAAAGGTCTGGTTGTCTCTTCACTTCTGGACTTAAGCCTTATTCCGGAACTTGAGTTTTGTGCACACACCTATTTGTCAGATCTGGCTCATTTGTATGCAGATTGTTGGTTCCTCACCTCTCAGGCAGATGCACAAATATGCAATCAGACAGTTACTGGTGCCATTGGAATTGGAACTCTTGCTGCTGAAGATGGAAACAGAGCACTTATGGGGGTGTCCTGAGTGCTATGATGTCGATTCTTATTTCAACATTCAGGCAGATGCACTCCATCTTTGAAGAAAGAACCCCTAATTAGTTGCCTTGTTGGACACGCTTGTTTGGTAAGGTGGGGGTCTATAGTCTTCTTTTCCCATACCCCCTTCCCCTCGCCAAAGAGGGTCCCAGAACCCACACAGGGAGTCCTGTTGATTAAAGAAAAATGTGTTGCTCTGTTTGCTTGTGGGAGTCACAGTTGTGTTGTGGCTAGATGTTTACCTATTAACCAGAAAGTCTTGGGTTTGAATCCACACCAGTTGTGTGATTTCTGTCACTGGCGTGAGGAAAAGTCAGAGCCGTTGTGGTCTGTATAAGAGAATACCCCATACCTCATGTTGGGCACCTGCAGGCTCTGGCTGGTTTCACCGAACTTCTTGAAAGACTGCTGCCACATGTCCTCGTCATGCACTATGAATAATGGACTACACTGGGCAGGCTGGGAATCTCAGAAATAGGAGTCTCCAGAGATGTGATCAGCCCACCCACAAATGGACTGGAACATCCTTTGAAAAACTCATTTGGAAAATGAGTAAAAGTCTGCTGGTCGAGAGTCATACTAAATGCTACTTAGGTTCAAATCCTGTCCGTCAAATGTCCTACTAACTGACAGCCAAGGTTTAGATGTTTTATCATTCAGAGATCCTACCTAATGGCACAAATGGTTCAAATGTTTGCTGTGATTGGCTACGCTCGTTGGAATGTCATTACCATGAGGGAAATCCATGCCTGGTGCATGCTTTCTGTACACTGCCATGCTAAGTGTCCTGAGGCAGCCACGTGAAAGATGCCATTAGCTACCAGAAAAGTCCTAACATAATGATATGTCTGTTTAGTATGAGCCATAAAAGTCTCATCTACAAACTGCTTCCTGGGAATCCTTAAAGGGTGCAACCTGTAGTGAGCGGGATGTTTAGTATGTGAATGTGAGGTTAAGCAGTTATGTGGAGGGTGTGATGATTTCTTAGGTGAGCCCAGTACTAGAGCGCCAAAAATTGGCTTTGCATTAATGAGAGCCTCCTTAGATGGTAGAGAATGCACATGTTCTACTCCTGCAATTGAGGCTGCACTCAGTTATCTTGATTGTATGGGGGAGGGGGGGCCAGTGTCAGCCTAACAAGCATGTCATTTGAGGCGACTAATTAGGGTTGTTTCCTTTGAAGTCCGAGTACATCTGCCTGAGAGATGAGGTACCAACAGTCTACATGCACATAAGCTAGATTTGTAAACTGGATGTGCATGCAGAATGCAGGTTTTGTAACAAGACCAACATTCAGAAGCGGGCGACAGCCAGAATTTCTAGCCAGTTTGCAGTCGGCAAGTGTAAAGAAAAAGAAGACTTGAAGCACTGTTAAAGTTTATTTTAAAATAATTTTCAAATTACTAACTAAACATAAAATACTAGCTTATATTCACAAGTAGGATAGCAAAATTTACATAATGGATTCAAGTTCCGCATTCGTTATCATAAGGAGAATTAGTGCACAGCAGGTGGAAAAATAAATTTGTCAGCTTACAATAGAAACAGCAGATGGAGTAAAGTAACCTCCATGAATAATTAACTGCAGGGCATGGAAAAGTCCAACATATTTGAACAGTTTTGTGTACAGTTTCAGGGAGTGTAATACAAAGCTAAGTGTAGAAAATACACAGCTAAGTATAATACAAGCTAAATGTAGATAACGTGCAGCTAAGTGTAGATAATGCACAGCTGAGTGTAGATAACACACAGCTAAGTGTAAGATGCAGCTATGTGTAGGTAATGCACAACTAAGTGTAGATAGCTCATAACCAAATGTAGATAAAACATAACCAGATATAGTAAAGTAAATTAAGTGTAGATAGCTCATAACCAAATGTAGATAAAACATAACCAGATATAGTAAAGTAAATTACCCTTTCCACATCTTCATGTGTATTAGGCATATAGGGCTAGACCTATACTTTAGACCAATCGGCACTCAGTGAGTGATGTGGTCACCATCACACCAGCCATCATTACTCGCCAGGATTCCACCTGGTAACCATTCAAGGCTGAGTTGACGTGAAAGCCAAAGTCATTTTTGAAAGAAAAAATGTATGGTACCCTCAGGATCTGAACCCATGATTTCCAAGCTGCTGGTGAGCATCTAACCACTAAACCACGGTCACTTCTAACTAAATATAGACAACTCATTAATAAGTGTAGATAACATATTTTAAGTGATAATCCCACCAACCCATAGAGTTGCAAAAAAGAAAGAAAAGAAATGGATGTAAACCGAAATTCTGCTTGTGATGGATGAAAGAAGAAAGAAAAGAAATGGATGTCAACCGAAATTTTGCTTGTGATGGATGAAAGAAGAAAGAAAAGAAATGGATGTCAACCGAAATTTTGCTTGTGATGGATGAAAGAAGAAAGAAAAGAAATGATGTAGAAGAATATTGTAGAATACAACAAAAAAACAGTGAACAAATGCAGACTGACTAAAGAAGCCTGGTTGAATCAAATGTGTACAAAAGTTGGGGAAAATCACAGGAATGACTCTCATTCCATGTACCAACAGGTAAATATCTAAACAGGAAAGATGACACGTAACAGCACTGGATGTTTAAAATCAGAAGATGGTGACTTATTAATGGGGCATAGTAATAAAATGTAATTAACAGATGGACAGTATATAGAGGAATTGTGTGATGATAATAGACCAATTGTAGTATTGCAGGCCAACAATGATGGTCCACCAATAATGACTTCAGAAGTTGTGGAGGCATTTCATCAAATGAAGAACGGAAAATCACCCTGGCCAGACAACACCTCACTGGAAGAAATCAAAGCACTGGGAGATTTTGGAATTGAAATAATAACTAAACTTTTAAATGATATTTATAATAGTGGGTGCATTCCAAATGACCTTTTAAAATACATATTTATAGCTCTGCCAAAGAAACCAGGAACTTTGAAATGTGAAGACTATTGCACAAGTCTTATGAGTCACATGACTAAGATGTTACTGAGAATAATTATGAGAAGAATAAGAAACAAAATTAAACCAGAAATCAGCGATGAACAATGTGGATTTGTAGAAGGAAAAGATACAAACAGTGCCATATTCATCCTAAGGACATTATCAAAAAGAACCATAGAAGTAAAAACTGATTTGTTGTACTTATGCGTTATAGTCTATACAAAAGCATTTGACAGTGTGAAATATGAAGAAGTAATCAAACTATTGTAAACATAAAACATTGATGGAAAAGATCTACAAATAATAAAGAATATGTATTGGAAGCAAACAGCAGCTATAAGAATTAACAACTGTTTAGGTACATTTTGGTGCATAAAGAGGGTCGTACGACAATGACAATGATTTATTTTCACTATACAGTGAATATATAATGAGATCTTTAATTGATATGCCTGGAATTGAGGTTGGTGGGCATAATATAAAAAAATTATGTTATGCTGATGACACAGTCTTGATAGCAACAAGTCAGAAAGAACTACAGAAAATGATAGAAATTGTTTGTGGTAGTGGAAAGTGGAAGACTGGGCCTCAGTTTGAATAATGGAAAGACAGAGGTAGTGGTGGTATCAAAGAAAAGAATTATTCAAAAATGTATGATAAAAGTCAGTCTTGTTTTTGTGGGACATGTTCATAAGTTTAAGTAAATGGGCACTGGATAACATCAGATGAAAGATGCATTAACAAAAGTAAAAAGTAAAGTTCCCTTTTCACGCCTTTTGGCGCATCGGGCATATGGGCAGAGCGTCCCATATTTTTACAGACCATCAGCACTCTGTGGGTAATGTGGTCAGCATTACGCCGGCTGTCTTTACTTTCCCAGGACAGCCCATCCTGGTACCCATTTTAGTTTGGGTCGACCTGCGACATCCCATACCACGACAAAAATCCACGCAGCCTGCAGTGGGTTTCGGTCGCGGTATGCTGGCTTGCGAGTCGGACTCGCAACGCCTTAGCCACGGACGCCGCTGAAAGATGCATTACTGAGATACAAAACAGAATAAAACAGTCAAAAACTGCATTTTATAAAGTGAAGAACATCTTATGCAATATCTCTATGTCATTGAAGGTTAGAAAAATAATTCTTGCTAGCTATGTATTTCCAGTTTTAACATGTGGCTGTGTGTCTTGGACAATTGGTAGGCAGGCCAAACAATTTCTTGAGGCCTCAGAGATATGGTTTTACAGAAGAATGCTTAAAATAGCTTGGACAGCCAAAAAGAGCAACCCAGAGATTTTGAAGAAGGTGGGAGCCCGAAGAGAACTTATCACAGACATCAGAAGGAGACAGTTATAATTTTTTGGTCATGTTATGAGAAGAGGGAAAATGGAACATGTTGTGACTACTGGAAAGATCTGGGAAAGGAGGTATATAGAAAGACAAGAGAAGATTCTTGACAGTCTTGTTGCATGGCATGGAGGTGTGTCAGCACACGAACTGATACATGCTGCAGGAGATCGCAGATTGTGGAGAGGCATGATCGCCCACGCCAGTCGGCAAAGCACCTAATGTTGATGATGATGAACATACAGCCAAATGAAGAAACTTAACCAGGGTATAAAACACTGCTGACTGTACCTATTGCTGCAATCAAAGTGTGATTCAGAGATGAATATTGATTTTAATTACACATTCGGTAAAATAACAAGAAATACCAACAAATTTAAACTAACAAGTTAAAAAGTCATTGAAGCTTCTGTCTTTGGTAAAATTAGCCATTTCTAATTGAACTGTGTATGACTTTAACATGCATTGTCAGAAATAAACAAATGGCTGTAAAGTGTGAGCACCTAATCAAATAATAGAGGAAAAAACAAATTCCACCTGGATTTTTACCAGAAGATACTAAGCATATGTTAGAGATCGATGACCAGCAATGGAGCTCCCAAGTTTTAAATGAGGAGAAATGGGGCAATAGAAGAATGTCTTGGATATGGAGATGTGACCATGGAACAAGAAAAGCAGGACACCCAGATAGCAGTGATCACAAGATATAGCTCTACATTTATTAGAGGATGCAGGTTAATTTCTCCACAATTTTGATTCTTTCAGATTATTATGAGGGCAACCTTCTAGAAGGAATTAATGTGGAACATTCTGGAAAGGTATTAGCATTTCCAGACATTTTTTTTTTGAAAACATGAGTTTGGTTTAAATTCTGCTCAAGTAGTGTAGGGACACACATAATGGGTGGACAAGCATCACAGTTTAGTAATGGCTATTTGGATAACATGGCTGATTGATCCAGAGGAGCCGCTGGCCAAATGGATAAGAACACAAGGGTCTCATAAGGGAGATCAGGGTTCAAATCATGGGTAATGTTGGGGTTTTTCTGTCCACGGCAAAAAAAAAATCCTGTCCTGTAGTCCATGGTAACAGCACTGGCCATGTGGCTTGAAATCCTTAGGTTTAAAAACCTTCCTACCTACACCGTAAATGTGGTAATTACAGGCAGTTTTTGTATATAAGTGCTGTGTTGTAACACAAACGTAAGCCTAGAGCATTTTTTTCTTTGTACTTTCATGTTTGTTACCTGTAATTATATACAATCACATCTCTATTTCTCCTGCATTGAAACATTTAAACAATCTGTTCATGACTTTTGTATTTCTGAAAACATGGAAGAATTATTGCACTTTGTGAATGTGTGTTCACAGTTTAGGTGGTGGGACATTCCTAGGATTGTGCTGTCTGCTTACTGGGTGTGACACCTTTGAGGAAGCCATACAACTAGCATCTAGTGGAGACAGTAAACATATTGACAAGTTGGTAAAAGATATCTACGGAGGTGACTACAGCAAGTTTGGCCTCACTGGAGACACTGTAGCATGCAGGTGATTGTTTTTGACATACTCGTGTATGATGCTATCTGAAATTACATGTCTTCTTCTTCTCCTCCTCCTCTGCTACCAAACTTTCATTCTTATTTAAACAGGCTGAAAATAAACACAATATTTTAACCGCGGGATGCATTAAAACATTGTTCTGCTTCTTCTTTGCATTCAGTTTTGTATGCTTATTTCAGATTGTCAGGTGGGCTGCCTCTATGAACTTGCATGTCAGCCGCAAGACCTTTATGGTTTCTATAGCTTGGTCTGCTATTTGCTTTTGAGGAAAGGTTTCTTTTCAAAGCTGTAGGTAGAGTGGGCAGGTCTGCAGAATGTTCTTAGGTGTTTGTAGTTCCATGTGACATGCACACTGTGGGGATTATACAGTCTTTTTTTTTTAAATATCTATGGTAGTTGAGCCTGCAGTGTCCTGTTCTAATAAACGGTTTATGAATAATGAAGGAAACTGTTTTCTCTGCTTATACAAAGGCAGCATGTGTGGCTTAGGCTTTGTGACACTCTTGATTATTCCAAGGTGCCAGATACAGTCCAAGCTGCAGGGGATTTGGTAGCAGTCGACCTAGCATTGGTTTAGACAGTGATATCGAGAGCTGACTATTCAGACAGGAATGGTAAACTACTGAACAAAAATTACCCAGTGAAGTCACAAGCAGCCACACACACAACAACTGCTAGATTGGCTAGCAATGTCCTGTAAAGAATACACACCTAATAATTTTGCTTAAAATACAAAGCTCTACTGGCTCATTTCCACTTTTCTATAAGAGTAAAACATTGTTTTTAAGGGAAGAATAGGGATCACAATCCATGGAGGTGGCATGCAGGACTAGCAAGGTCAGCTTACATTAAGAATAGGTAGATTTCATTTCAGGATCACTGCTACCATTGCAAATTTACAATATTTTTTTCTTCTAAAACACCACACAGCAGGTCTTTCTGCAAATAACTGTCGTTTCCTTATTCGTTTCCAGGTTTTTCTCCTGTCTGTGTTATATGCAACATGATTTATGGCATGCTGTTAATATCTCAGTACCTGTCTTTTGTGCCTTGCTTCCACACATCTTTACATCAAAGTCAAGGCCGATACCAGGATCTTCTACACATCTATAATTTACAACAACAAAAAATATCTTTTAAGGAATCTACCATCCTCTAATAGGTCTCTAATTCTGTGTCCCATGTAATAGGCATGTTGATGCCTTATGACACTTTTTATGTTATTTTAACTTTTATCTTTATATGTGAGGTATAAACACATTGTCTTTTTGATTACAACCCATTCTTGTTGTCTGGTCTAGCATTTGCTTGAATGTTTCTGATATTGAAAACCTCTGAATGTATAATATTATTTACTTTGTGATTGTTAAGTGGGAGTTTGAAAGCAGAAAGTTTAAAGCGACATTATATATTTTTTCAAAGCAAAATTGAAGTGAGTTCTGAATCTAAATGTCTGTATAAACTTTACTACTGTGTCACCTTGAGAAACTGCAAACCCACCATTTTCATCTGTGACTCATTCCCACAGATGCTGCTTACCCGGCATTACTGCTGTGGCATGTCCCTGAGAAGCTCAATTACCAGAGCTGATATCTCTTTGTGAGTGCGCAGTAGTTAGGAGGCCCAGCTATTAATATATTTACTGAAATAGCACTTGAGATTGGGGGGGAGGGGGTGTCTTGTGAAGAGGATGTCTTTTTTAAAGCCAATTTTGTCATAATTTGCTCTTAGCCTTACTGTTTAAGTTATGAGGTCACAGTCTCACTTCCTGATATAGTTCTGAGGTCCTGGTATTCCAAATAATGCTTCACTCCATTCATGTTTTCTTAGAATGAATGCTTAATATATTTTGGGAAACGTTGAATTTAGATGAATAATTCATAACAAAATGTATTCCTGAGCTGTGTCAAATGGTTGTGTTTGTATGTGTTTAAAAAAACTTTTGGAGGAATTCCTGCCCGCTTTTATTTTAAAACTTATTCAGTACGAAAGGGTTAACTTGGCTAAGTGGTAAAATGTGTAATATTTGAAACTATCAGGTGATAAATAAAATCATATTTTACTGTTTCAAGTGTTATTCAGTTTCCAACACACTGTAGGCTGTCTGTGGTCTGCAGATCAAATAACACTAATTGCATGCTTTTTTATTTTGCTGGATATTAATCAGAAGTCTCTGGTATGATAGAAAATGGGTCATATCATTTCTGGTCAGTTTGTAAAAGATTCACACATTCAAAGGCATGTGCGAGAGAGTCGCTGAATAAGGGATGCAGTCGCAATTGTTTCTTTGTTAATCAACAAATTTGGTGAGTCAGAGTGATACTACCTGAGAGGCAAGGAACCAACAGTCTGCATGCAGATAAGCCAGATCTGTAAATCAGATAGGCATGCAAAACCCAGGTTCCACCAGAGTTGACAGCAGATGAACACTAAGAAGAAGAAAAAAAAAAAGCTCTGCACACAAACATTTTTAAAAACATCAGTAAATAACTGTGATAACTGGTTTCAGCTTTGGCCACATGATGAGCAAAGAAAGAAGAGAGTTGGCCTCTAAAGAAGACCTGGCAAGGGCAACGTTAGTCACAATTACCAACAATATAGGCTCTATTGCACGCATGTGTGCAAAGACAGAGGTGAGGTAGATTATGCATTTGAACTAAAAATCTGATAAACCCCATTAACACAAACTCACTAAAAATGAACCCTCAGTTAACTGAATTGTGGTCCCAACAGGGATGTATTATTCATAATACATCTGCTAGTTCTGAGTTAGCATGAATTCTTTATGTAATGCAAATTCTTTGGCCTGGAATTTGTGTTAATGAGGTTTCACTGAATAACAAGTCAGACATCACTGCATAGTTTGTCTGCCACTCTGTTTTCTTAACCTAAAGCTAGCTAGACCATGGCCAGGGGTCTCATGTTTGTTTCCCTCTATAGATATTTGTGTTTCTTTGTATTCTTCTGTGCATATGATTGGTTATACAGAGATTATATGTATGTTTATACATATTTATTATTATATCGAGAACACTCTGGGCATGAAAGTTCATGAGTTGAGAAAATGAACAGGAGATCCTGTGACTTTTGAGAGCAACCTTTGCAAAAGACCTGCTGCATGGTGGTGATGATATAATTTATTATAAAATTATTTCAAACAGTAATCTTTAAAAAAAAAATTATTTGGAAGCTTCGGAGATGTATTTTTTTTTTTTTTTTAAATATATAATGAGAATTTCCTGGACAGATTAAAAAGAGTAATGAAGGTGTCTTGAAAGAAACTGACTCATGAAAAGAACTGACTGGCCACATCAGAAGGAGATAATCTGCATTCTTTGGTGATGTCATGAGAAGAAGAAAAACTGGAGTACATCATGATGGTGGAAGAGTTGGATGAGAAAGGAGGCAGAGGGAGACAAAGAGAGAAGCTGCTGGACAGTTTGACTTTGAGGCATGGGAGATCATCTGTGTCAGAATTGACACAAAAGATAAGGTTATGGATAGACATGACTACCAATACCACACAGTATAGACTAAAAGAAGATACTCTTTAAACATGCCTAGATAACTATAGCTTCTTCTTCTTCTTCTTCTTCTTCTTCTTCTTCTTCTTCTTCTTCAGCATTCTGAGCCCTTGAGGCTCACGGCTGCAGATATCACTCACCTCCATTCATCTCTCTGGTTGGCCTTCTCTTTCCAGATGGTGACACCAAGTGTTTGAAGGTCTGTCTGGATATTATCTCTCCATCGTCTTCTTGGTCTGCCTCGTGGTCTACGATCATTCATCTCCCTCATGAAGATAACTATAGCAGTCAAAGAAATTATGAATGTGGTAATTTACCTATGACAGCAACCGAGGCAAGACGTCTTTTTGTAATTCAGGTTTTAAATTGTTGCATTTCCTCTTCAGGGCGTCGCAAAGTGACCCCAGCATTTATTGACTGTTGTGTGGTTTTATTTACTAGGCAGTTTAATGTTCAGGAGTTTGTCTATGCTTTCTGAATGATATGGCTTTCATACCATTGTCATTTAAAAGTAAGGGGTCTGCTAACAGATTACTTGCAACCGACTCAGAACCCTGGTGTGTCGAAATTGTTCACAACCTCTAAGTCGCTGGTACAGAGAAAAGTAGGTGGATAAGCTACCTTTCATTATTATAGTAGAAAATATATTATGTTGAAATGAATATTTATTTTTCTACAACTTTTGACTTTTCAGAAAATTGAACATGTGGTGTTTGTGGGCAACTTTCTCAGAGAAAACCAAATTTCAATGAAATTACTAGCATATGCAATGGATTACTGGTCTAATGGCTGTCTAAAAGCTCTCTTTTTGGAACATGAGGTAAGTTTTTTGTTGTTGTTTTTTAGTGAGACAGAGACAGCATTCAGTTTCCAAGTACATTGTAAAAGGTTTAAATCAGGAAGGTTTGTTTACTTAATTGCACTGGGTTTTAGGTTTTATCCCATACGGCTTGGTCTCTCTCAGCAGAACAGCTGACTGCCAGTCAGCAAGATTGTTGCACAAAGCACGAACACCATAGTTTAGTGGATGATCCCCAGGAGTTTTCTAAAAAAATGTCACTCTTGAACTAGATGACGCAGCCGTGAAATGAACCCATGACCTTCAGAGCTCAGGCAAGTGGCTTGACCACTTCACCATAAAGACACACTCCCCTCCAGGGTGTATATTGATTGTATAGGGCAGAAAATATCTAGTTAACAGCTTTATTTAAGAAACCTAGGATGTGTTACATTTAATGTATACATTTTAAATGTGTGCAAGACGGGAATAATACATAAATGGGGTCAACATCACTTCTCAAGACATCTTTTTGTAGCCATCGTATTCTGTGATTGAGCATGAATAATTTATTTTTTTCAGTGTTTATGTATTTCTAAACTGAAATCAGATCTACAATTTTTTATTTTCACAGGGATATTTTGGTGCTTTGGGATGTCTTTTAGAATACCTTCACCTCAACCATCAGGGATAGGACATGCAACACTCAACTTTAACTAGTGGTATTTTTATAGCAGTGAAGTCACAAATCATCATCATCTTGTGTGCCATGGATTTCCTTATGTGTGTAATTAATCATTTGGATTTGTTTAGGACTTTTCTGAATTCATCACATATGTGCATTCACTGTATTTCTCCGTGTATTTGACGCATAAGATGATCTCTTTTTTTACAGTCTAAAAATTAATTAATAAATATTTTTAAACACATTCCGTGTATGAGATGGGCCCCTAATTTAAAACTTAAAAAATGTATCAAAATATAGCGTCCTACACGGGGAAAAAACAGTATGTGTTCATTGAAACATATTTGAGATGAAACTATGGAATAGTTACAGACCTTGTGTAAGGAAGTGTATTAACATTTCGTGGACAGACAGGGTGACTAATGGCTGCCTAGAGATGGCTAACGAACGTAGAAAACTATATACAACTATATAAGAAAGAGGCAGTCAGTGTTCTTGAGTCATGTGATGAGAAGAGAGGCATTGGAAACATTTTAATCACTGGAAAGATCAACTGTAGAAGAGGCAGAATAAAGAGACCTTGTCTGACAGTCTGAAGTTATGGCATCTCGGAGCATCATTAGTGGAATTTATTCAAAATATTAGGTGCTGATATCTGTGGAGAGACGTGAGGTCCTAAGCCACTGGGTAGGGCATTTGATGATGATGTATTAACACCTGTTCAAAGTCATAGACATTCTCTGTTCAATCGCCTGAGATATTATAATACTGTTTGAATATATAATGGCCATTTGTGTGTCCTTTTGTCAAAATAAATGTAACACAAGGTTCGTCTGTACCGCAGGACAAAGGAAATAAGAATCCCCTCAGGATTGTAAGTAGATTTATATATAATTAGGTATAGGAATGTATGAGTGGGGTTTAAATATAATAAAGAATAAGAATATTATTAATAAAAATAATAACAGATGTTACAAAGGTTTAGATACATTAGTATGTTTCAGAATTTTTTTCACTCTAGGCACTGTATAGAAATCTGCAGTTATATTGCGATGCATATAATAAAGTAAGTAAGTAAAGGGCTCTTTTGCACACCTTCAGGCGTATTTGGCATATAGGGCTAGATGTATATTTTATAGACAATTGGCACTTGATGGGTGATGTGGTCAGCACAATGTCCACCACCTTTACTTCCCAGGACTATACCTGGTAGCCACCCGCGGCAGGGTCGGCCTGAGAGCCAAGGTAGTGTTTAGAAAAGTAGCTCTACAAGGATCTGAACCCACAGCCTTCTGATCCGCATGGGAGTGTCTAGCCGCTACACCGTTACGATATAGATTAACCAGCTCATTTCTTCGCCATCCCCATATTAAAGAACTCTCTGCAGGGCTTTAAACCGGTGAACAGACAGCAGCAGATTGATAACATTTGAATTAATTAAATGAATAAGGTGAAGACATTAGAAAACATCTGCAGTATTATGTAAGGATATTCTTCCAGTCTAACAGTATGTTAGAACTGTTTGTATATATGCTTCTAATGTTTTATACTTTTAGTTATTACACTTTAAAATTATTTTATACTGTTTTAAAAATATGAAATACATTCAATTTTTCCAGTACCAGAGAAATACTTTTAACACAAACAGATTTATTCTTTTTTTTTTTTTTTTTAAACATGCAGTAAACAAATGCTTTTGCCTTATTTGGGTTACAACCCAAGTCGCATAACTGGGAGACCAAATTCATATCCACTCAGCAATCACTTATGGATACTTTAAAAAGAAAATAGAAATTACATTCCTGTCCTGAATTTTTTCCATTTATCAAGAAGAACAAATAGTCCCTGTGTGGGTTCCGGGGTCGCTAAGGGGGTAGGGGGAGAATAAGACCCAGTGCCCCGTAAGAAGCACATCGTAAAGGGTAAAAGTCAACTAATCAAAGTCAGAGTGTGCCTGCTAACAGTGTGGCATAAATGAAAGCCAGATCTGTAGAACGGATGCATTTGCAAATCTCAAGTTCCGGAACAAAACTAAGGTCTAGACGTGGATGAGCAAGCAGAACTTTCCGTCAAAGTTTACAGCCGATGAACCCGAAGAAGAAGAATGGAAGAGTTATAGACTTTCCTGAAAGCAGGAGATACTTTGTACAGTTCAACTACAAATGCCTTAACGCTGGCACCCCGAGAACCCACATAAGCGAAACTTCTGGTTGGATCAGATCCCCGGTTAAAGCCGCTTTACTGACTTTCCTTGATGTCATGTTTAGGAGACGCATAGTTAGCGTTTTAGGCTGTGTTCGCAACTAAAGTCTTCTTTCTTTCTTCGTATTCACCAGATGTAAGCTCTGGCGGAAAGTTCTGGTTGTTCATCTGCTTTTGGACTGCAGACCTGTTCCAGAACCTGAGTGTTTTGTGTGCATCCGTTTTACAGATCGGACTCATTTGTATGCAGACTGCTGGTTCTTTGCCTCTCAGGTAGATTTACTCCGACTTCGGAGGAAGCTTCCAATTAGTCAATTCTTACGACATGCTTATGGGTAGACAGTGGGTCCGTTCTTGTTTTCCCTATAATAGGGCCACGGGGGGCACCTAAAGTGCATTTAACAGGTCAGGATATAAATACATTTATTGAAAAATGACATTTGTTTGAGGATGGAGGGGCTTGTGAACCAGATAGCTTTTTTAAAGCCGCATTGACATCAAATTGTCCTGTACACTGTGATAGAGGTCATGGGGTTGTTTTCCTTACGTCACCAACTCCAAATTCCTACTGACAGTGATGGTAATGAGCTTAGCTGAGTCTTCCTAATTTCTTTTCAAGCACTGTTTGTCTTAGCACAGAGTCCATTTACCTAAAGCCAATATATGCATATTACCTAGAATATCTTCTTTCTCACCTTCTGTAAAATTAGAGCATATCCCGATACAGCTCATGAAAATCACCCCGCTCAGAGCCATTTCTCAACACGCTATGTATAGAAAGGTGAAGGAAGACATCTCATAACAAACCTAGATCGTTGGTCAGCCCATGGGAACCGCTATGAAATCTCCTGGCCAACGAGATGGAGTGACTTTTGTGAGTAGAACCCATATCCCAGCATTTGAACTAAGAATTAGATGTTGATGGTGTGTATTATTGTTATATGCTAACTGATGTATGAATGGAATAACATATGTAAGGAGCAACACCAAGGGGGGCAGAATGTAAGACTGGCCTGCTTGTCCAGTTTTTAACTCTTTGAAAATAAAGTTAGTTTGTTTTTTCTGTGTTCACCATGTGGATTGAATGTTGAATTGAGAATCGACATTACAGCACTCAGAACAGCCCCATAAGTGCTCAGTCCCCATCTTCAGCAGCAAGCAAAGAGTTCCAATTCCGATGGTACCAGTAACAGTCTGATGGTATATCCGTCTCATCCTTCCCCTGTGTTGAGCATCTGCCAGATCTCCTGTTAACTTCGCGCAGCGCCATTCTTCTTAGACCGTAATGCTGTATCTGTGCCTCCTCACTGTTTACTTGCTCCAAAAGGGCCCTCACAATATCTAACTTGTCATACATCATTTCACCACGAAGTGGTGCAGAGCCAGCCAGTATATCTGTCTGCTCATTTCCTAACACACCGGCATAACCTGGAGAAAATATCCAAAGGATGCTAGCTACCTGGGACCTCTGAAGTGATGCTTGCCACTCTGCACAAAGCATGCCTGTTTTCACTTTCTCAACATGCTCTGTGTCAGTTACAGTTACAATCACGGCATGTGTGTACAGCTGATTCTCAAGCCAGTGGAAGGCAGCAGAGACTGCCTCCACCTCTATTCTCAAACTAGATGTTGTGATATCATAATTAAGGCTTTTCTATCCAGAAACCATGAATTGTTAACCCTTTGGCTCAGTACTATGGATATCGCAACCCTTCAGCCTTGATTCCATGATAGATACCATAAATCTTTGAGAAATGTGGCTTTTCTACCTACCCCTGGGTGTGAACCCAGACCACAAGTAGTTCGTCACCCGGTCGTGGCGAAATCGTGTTTAACCAACTACGCTAGCGAGCTAGCCAAATATATATTGATGCCATTCTATCAATAGAATTTTAAAAATATAAAACCACATTAAACGAAACAAAAATGTCAGTTAAAACTTATTCAGTCATCAGTGTTTAGAAAAAGAAAGACTAAAGTACTGGTTCCTAATTCAGTTTTTTAAAAGTAATATAATGCTGGTGACCTTATATCGTATAATTGGTTATTGCCTTATTAACAGTTGTCAAACACATGCACATATCTTTGCAAAACATCATTTTTTCATTAACGTTTGATTTTAATTAAATATTTATTATTCACAATGGGATTTTGGGAATTCAGGCTTGCTTATTCTCATGAAACACATTTAATCAGTTAATATAAAATATAAGCATTATTTTAGAACATGTTATCTCTCTTGTTATATTGTGTTGTATATATTGATGTATGTTTTCCTCAGTAATTTGGCAGCTTGTGCACATGTTTAGAAAGGTCGGGAATTACTAGATTTACTTAAAATAGCATATTTTTTTTTAAAGTTTTTTTATGAGAAAACAGGCTCATGAATAGACATTACATAATTTTCCCAATGGACACAGTGTTAACCTGCGACTTCTAGTGCCAGTACTAATATAGTACATATGTACATAGAGATTTAACAGCATTTCATGGTTCACTGTTGCTTAAGACGGTCTACTGATTGAATATTGACTAGTGTGTAAAAGGTAAAAAAGGTAAAGTCTGGAAATGTGAACCAGTGTCATTGCTCACAGTTATAAACCATAAGTGCTCTGCCACCAGTACGGACAGCTGATAAGAAACTGTCCGCCTGTGTCACCGTCCGCATGTAACTCTGTTCCTCCATTCACCCCAGAATGTCAACTCTGGTACCCATTTCCTGACTAGTGTGTATGAATATATATATATATATATAGCGCAGCTGACAGTTGTTAATGGACTGTTAACTTCACAGGGTAAAATTACTA